CGGATGTGGCGGAAGACGAAACTTGAAATACACTATAGCATATATAAAGACAGCCTTCGTACTTTCAATGTGGAACTAGGCAAAGCTAGACAGTCATTCTTCTCAAACCTTATAAACAGTAACTTAAAATAACACTCGCACTCTTTTTGCTACTGTTGAGAGACTGACAAACCCCCCAAATCAGATTGCCAGTGAAATGCTCTCCGACAGCAAATGCAATGAGTTTGCTTCCTACTTTTCTGAGAAGATCATTAATATCAGGAAGGCGATTAGCACATCCCCAAGTTATGCAGAGGTCAGACAGACTCGACTGCAATTCAAAAAAGACGTTACTATGTCTGTTTTTGAAGCAATTGATAGCAAAATTTTGGAAAAAATAGTACAGCACCTTAAATCGTGAACTTGATATCTTGACACACTTCCCACATCTTTTTTTCAAAAGGGTGCTTAACTGTTTAGAAGCGGATCTCTTAGAAGTGGTGAACGCCTCACTTCTTTCTGGGACTTTTCCAAACTCCCTGAAAACTGCAGTTGTTAAACCCCTTCTGAAAAAAAGCAATCTTGATAACACCATATTGAGCAACTATAGACTAATCTCAAAGCCCCTTCTCAAAAAGCGCAATCTTGCTAACACCATTTTGAGCAATTATAGACCAATATCAAATCTTCCTTCTATAAGAGTATTGAAAAGGAAGTTTTTAATCAGCTGAACAAATACTTAAACTCAAATGGATACCTGGAAAATTTTCAATCTGGTTTCCGACCACATCACAGCACAGAGACAGCACTCAGTAAGATAATTAATTAAATTAGCTTAAATTCTAATTCTGGCAAAATACCAGTTCTAGTACTACTAGATCTCAGTGCTGCATTTGAGACTGTCGATCATAACATACTTCTAGAGAGACTGGAAAACTGGGTCGGGCTTTCTGGGATGGTACTCAAATGGTTCAGGTCATACTTAGAAGGGAGAGGTTATTATGTGAGTATAGGAGAGCACAAGTCTAAG